AAAGAGGATCTCTCGGCGAAGCATTCTTGTCGCCAGGCGATGAAAGATACTCTTTTGGGGTTTTAACACGCCCTGCTGGTCACGTGTGGCATCTTGCCAGAATCGCCCGGCGATGCTTTATGGTCGCCCGACGATAGAGCGCAGATAGGCCATACTTTTGGCTACTTTTTGCCACCTTTTATGGAAACTTTCCACCAACTTTTTTCTTAAGGAGGGAAGAAATCTGATTTTAGATATAGAAACCTTTTGTTCTATAGATCATAACATTACAAAATAAAAATATACTTTTTGTTCTTATCTCTTGGAGAGGAGAAAAAGAAGAACACTCTTGCATCTTGAATCAAGGAGAGTTGAAGATTGATGTTCATCAACATCCATTGTTTATTCATTGAGCAATGTATCATGACAATGAGTAACTAAACACTTTTTGTGTCAAGGTTAGAAGTAGTCAACCTAGACTTAATGTATTTCTTTTAATCATTTTGTATATGAACTTGGTTGAAGATTAATACATGTTGAATATATTTGTATCATTGTTATTTTTATGGTTTGGTTCATTATTGAGAAGTAAGTTCCAAGCTTGACCTAAGATATTCATCTACTAATAAACAAGCTCTAGACATAGATTTTTGAGTTAGTATTCACTTGTATCAAGCTTTAAAGATTATCATATTAATAGTTAGGTTGAGAGATCATTAAATGATTAACATGATAACACTCACAATATTGCTTAGACATGATAAATATTGAGAGGATACGTGAATGTATTGATCGCTGATTAGTTCATATGCAAGGTTAATCAAATAAATATGGAATAGGTTGATGAAAACTAATCTTGACATCCTTTTTATCAACACAAACATTTTCAAACAACAATCTCTCTATTATCCAAATCTCTATCTTGTGCATGAAACTTAGTCTTTTGTTACTAAAAGCAAACATTAAAACGTTGTTTATGATTCAAACACTTAAATACACTCAAACTATAGAACGAGATTAATATCACACCAATGTATGAGGAAAACGATAATATAAATACTTTTGTTGAAAGTACTACAAACAAAATGACATGAAATTATATGGAAATAAAAGTAAAGAGCATAAAAGTAAAAGTTAGATGTTAGCACAATTAATATGTTAATGTTAGTGTTAATGAGGAACCAGTCGAGTTAGAATAATTTAGCGCTATGTTAAGCAATCGTAAGTAAACTTACGTAGAAGTCACATCTATGTGAGGCCGGTCAATAGAAATTTATGTGTCATACATGTAAGAGGAATGATACAAAATCCTCCTCCAAAACAATGTAACACAATGATCAAAACAAAAGCAAAGAGAAGAAAATGGAAAATGATAGATGATCAACTATATTTGAAATGTAACAAGGGATCATCTATCCTCAATTTCAATTCAAGTTCACAATACAAATGAGAGAAACTTATCATTAATCCAAAGTACTAAAAATGATCAAATGGTCATTTAAATGGTAATTTTGAAATGATGAAAGTTCATACAACCAAATCATAATTTAAAGACCAATTGAAATTGAAGTAGAATTGATCAACCAAGTCATGATCCAAGTCAACAAAAGTAAAAACAGAAATATGAATAAAAATATTATTAAAAATGATTTAAAAAATGATTTAAAATGGAACTTAAATGGAAAACTCCAAAGAGGCATCAAAACATCAAATAAAAATCAAAAAAAAAATTGAGAAAGTCAGAAATATTACAAGTAATTAGATCTTAAAATTTGGAGAGAAAATATTTCAAATGCATGAAAATTAATTGTTAAATTAAAATTAAAAATAAAATAGAAAAAAAAATGATAAAAATGATTTTTAAATTCTGAAAAAAATATGTGGTAGAGAATAATTTTAGTGATTTATAAAAAAAAAATTGGATTCAAAAAGATCAAAGGAGCTATTTAAAATAAATCAGAAAAGAAAAAGGAAATAAAAATGAATTAAAACAAAAATAAAATAAAAATGATTAACGGCTAGGAGGCGTGGCACATTCTTATTAGTTAAGATTTTAATTTTCCACCAGAATGCGCACTTCTCTTCATCGTCTTCAACATTGATCCGATTTCTGCAAATCCTTGATTTATGAGTTTTAAGCTCAAATAACACATGGTGAAACTTTTACTCATATCATCATTCATGTCTCTCTGCATTAGATTCATTGATGGCTCTAAGCAGAGAGAATAAATTAAATGAAAAATCCGAAGAATAAATTCCAGGTAAGTGAGGGTTTTTGATCAGTGAATCAAGACAAAGAGTGTGATAACTTTTTTGTTCAGAAATTTAAGTCGTATCTACCTTTTCAGTCGAAGCATCGAAGGTCAACAATGGTGAAATCAAGTTAAAGGTTGCAGGAGGTTTAAGCTTCCAAAATGTTTCAGTTAGCTTCAGATGGTGCTGGTGAGTGATTTTGGGCAGAGAGAGATTTGAAGTTAAAACAAGCTTAAAATGAAAATAGGGTTTCTGATTTTTGAAGCTTTTCATGAGTGAAAATGGCGGAGGGTTCAGTGGATTTTTAAGCTTGCAAATGAAGGTAAGATGGTCCTCTATTTATAGGAAATGGAATGAGGTCATGGTTCGTGCGAATTCAGATCTAGAACGTATGAACCAAGTTGGAAATTCTCAATTTGAAATTCGTGTAAGTGAGGGTGAAATGCGTGAGTTTGACACGAAACCTGGTTGTTTTAAACTCCATTCTATGCGTTTTGCAACAACAAATAAGTTTGCATATGTGATGGTGGTCTCAAGTGAAGATTTGAATGATTTCAAGTTAGAGGTCATGCGTGTAATTCAGAGTCCATGGCACCATGTTAGAGCTTAGGCCAAATGAGATTCACTTGTGCATTTTGAGATATTCTTCATGCCAAATGATATCCTCATGATGAAGAATCAAATGCAAAAGGAAACACATCAAAAGGATGCTTGAGTTGAAAATAACATGGATGACAAGTTCAGGTCACGACTTCTGTTAACGGACGTTGACATGAGGGACCAAAAGTGTGGATGGAAAATATTAGGAGGGCCATTCTTTGAAGGAAAATATTTGAGAGACTAAAAACAAAATTTGAGATATTTAGAGTGATCAAAAACTTATTTATCCCTAATATATATATATATATATATATATATATATATATATATATATATATATATATATATATATATATATATATATATATATATATATATATATATATATATATATATATATATATATATATATATATATATATATATATATATATATATATATATATATATATATATATATATATATATATATATATATATATTAAATATAAAACTTAGAATTATAATGAATAATTTGATACAACATTGCTTTGGTGAGAAAATTAATAATAACATAAACAAAAGGTTGCATAAAAAGATGTAGAGAATTCTAATATCTTGAATATAAAAAATTATGTAAAAGTGTGGTTTTTTTGTTGAGTTTTACAAGCCTGTATATAGGCTTAAGGCCATAAATTTGTTGGAAATCCATCAAAATCTATGATGAATTTCTATCAATCTTGATGAATAAGATTTTTATCACCACACAATGACAATAAAAAAGAAAAGAAAATTAAAGAAAAAATATTTAGAGTTTCTGTAGAGTTTCTCTATGTCTACAAACTGTGGAAAAGCTTTTATTTACTTGCAATAATAAATACTGTGAATATTCAATGTTAGGAGTTGATTACAAAAATAAGGGTTACTCCCACTATTTATAGCTTTAGGTTAGCTTGCTCTCTAAGCCAAAAAGCCCAAAAATATATGTTGTTGTCGACACAACTTCTCCTCACAAATCTTTGGGTAGATGCTTGTCGTTCAACATACTTCTCACCATATTTATGATGGTTCGATTCTTCCTTTATGCATTTACATTATGTTGTGGAGTGTAGGGTGGCACCACCTCATGCATAATTCCTTCTTTTTCACACAATGCATCGAAGTATTTCAACACATACTCTCCACCACCATCGGTTCTTAAAACTTTGAGCTTTCAACTGTTGCACTCCATAATTTGCCCTCTTAATTTTAACCCTAGGTGGCTCATATGCTTCATTATCATTCATACATGCATGACATTGGTTCTTGTGCTATAAGATCAAGTTCATCAATGAATTAGGATTTTCTCCTATCAAGAAGGAGATTCAATGATCAATCAATACATGTTTGAAGATCAATCATCAAGATCGCTCTCATCAAAACACATGGTCTTCTATATATTCAAACTTTCCAAAGATCATCGGGAGACCACATTTCATTGGTTAAAGTTAGATCACTAGCTTGCCTCTAATTGGTTTCTTAAATTAGGGTTTCATATTCTGTGTTTGATCATGTTCATCAAATGTGGCTCAGTGGATTAGGGTTGCATCTCAGGGCTATTTTGAGCATCCTTCAAGTCTTATTCTTATCTTCAACCAAAGGATTCCTCCACACATTATTATTATGGTGAAGTCATCTGTTGAGGGAGTCTTTTATCAAGACATGGTACAAGTGGGATTGAAGTTGTGGTTTCCAAATGTTCAAGACACCATTATTCTTTTAAGTACTTGATACTTGAAAGGCAAGTTACTTGTGTTTGGAGCATTTGAAATTAGGAATTTCATAGGTCGAAAGATGTATTTGAGATATTGATCCAAGTGATTCCATTTTTCAAAGTTGGTTTAAGTTATCAAAGTTTGTAAAACATGCTAAGATTGGAAGGTTTATTCATGGTTGTATGCTTGGAATGCAAGTTACAAGTATAAAAAGAGTTTGTCATTATTCAAGGTTTTCAAGTTCACCCATTCATTATTCAAATACCATTCAAAGTTCTAAATTCACAATTTCAAACATCACAATACATAAAAATAAAATAAAAACCTATTCAAACTCTGTTCAAATTCATCATCAAGGTTATTTAATGTTACAACAAAGGAGGTGAACAATTTTTACAAGCGTACCTAGGGTTCTAAAGTCATATCTATTTGCTCATGAGAGTCAAGATAAGTCCCATGCTTTTAAGACCAAACACAGTGCTTATTAGCCAAATGCCTACACCAAATCTCGTATTCGAACCAAGACTTTACGTTAAATTGTCCATGGCTTGTTATAAACTTGGTCCAACTTTTGCAATTTGCCCTGACATTATGGCATACCAGACCTGCCAACCGCCCTGCATCAGGAAGAATAAAACAGAGAAAATACATTAACTCAGCTCTATGCATAAAATCAGGCTCTGCATCAAGACATCATCTCCAAAAAATCCGCATCTTCACCGATTCATCAATGCAAAAACAACTTCAATTATCAATCCTTCGCAACCTACAACATCACAATGCTTCGCATCAATGTAGAGGCATCACACTCGTCGTAGGTATGTCGAATCTTCATCATTTCGCTCCTTTCTTGATACGTGTGGGTAGAGCAGATTGAGGAGAGCCAAAACCCCATGGAGTCGAGCTCAGAGACGTGATTATGAACGTTTAATTTAATCTGTAAAAACCTAGGGTTTTGGTGTTTGGGTTATAATCAAAACGATTGAAGAGAAGTTGAAACGAAAGAATGGCGGATTCTAGTTTTAGGCTCTGAGACGAAGGGTTTAGATGGCGAAAAGGAGGCTTCAGTTGTGGTTCAGTGGTGAATCACGACGGAGTTTCTTCTCCGATGAAGCTCGTGTCGAAAGAGATGAGAGGAAATTTGTCTCGTGGAAGATGAAAAGTCACAAACGATTCTCACCTTAGCTAAACCCAAACGATACAATTTCCATTATTAATTTTTTTTTTTTAAATTTCTTTTCTAATCAATAATTCTGATTTCAATAGAGTGGATTGAATGTTTCTATGGACCCTGGATTGAATTTCACTTCCATGGGCCCGTTCTTTGTTTTTGGTAATCGAACTTCTTGCAATAAAAAAATTGTTTTTGGATCCATCAGCATTTTTGCCTCTAGCATACCATTGAGTTTAACTTGTACTTCCAGAAGTTTCATTTTCTATACTTGTTTCAATTTCATTTTCAATTAATTGTGTGTGTTATTATTGAATGAAATAGACTTGGGTGAGGAGTTTCCAGATGTTTCGAAGCTAGCTAAGAACCTATATTTCATCAAGGAAATTCAATAAGACTTTCGGTAAATCTTTTTCATCGCTTGCGCGGCTTTGAAGAGACAACGGACCTTTCTCTGTTAGGTACCACTTGAATCTCAGTTTTATCTCTTTCACATATCATGCTAGGATTTTATTGATTGCTAGAAGCATATAGCATAGTTGCATCTTGTTATACCCCAATTTTCGCCCCTAAGATCCTCTATCATTTCATATCATCTCAATGCATCAAGATCACACATGTGAGTGAGTTATCTCTTCTACTCTCTTCTATCTTTAAGTTTGCTCTTGAGGAATCGCTAAGCACCTTGAATTGTGTATCTTACATATGTGTATTTTATGTTTACTAACCTTTATCCAAAATCTAAAAAGATGTATGTTTCCTCTTTATACTTTATACATTGTAGGTGTGAACCCAAGTGCTTCTCTCTCACCTCTTAAGCTAGGATTTTGAAGGTTGATCCTTATTCAATGGGCTATTCATTGGATATTAAAAGCTTTAACTTCAAGGCTATGTTTATGGCATCAAATTTCTATGGTTTGAGGACTCTCTCAACTTCATTTGGTCAAGATTGTCTCAAATTTGGTAGTTGTATTCATCAAAAAACTTTATAGGTTCATGTGTTTATTTATATGCCTTCTGTCGTACTCCAAATTTGTCCTACCCTTCTTTAGATATCATATGGTTTATATATCTCATGCCCCTCATCTAAACACATCATGCACCATTAAACTTGGCATGGGATTAAGGATTTTGTAAGCTAGGGCTTCTCTATGATTATGAGGTTTCCACTTTACTCCAACTTAATTCAACTGATTCATTCGTCAGGTGTGGTTTGTGAATTAAAGGTTCAATTTCATGGTCACTGTGAATCTTGTTTTTATCATGTTATAAAGTTCCCCTTAATCAATATTTATCAAAGGATCAATGAGTTAGTGTTTCTTCATCCTATTGTTGCTTCGAATGCAAGTTGTTGTGAACATGGGATTAAGGCATGTAATTAAGGTTTTTTAGTTCAAGGATGCATTCATTATGCAAGGCTTGAGCTTCAAGTTGTATTCGAAAGAGCTAAACCATGGAGATAGGGATCCATTCGATTTTTTAAGGCATATAATCATAGTATTATTCAGAAGGAAATGATACTTGAGTCTTATTCGATTAGAGTTATGACGGCTTGAGGTAAGTTATTTAAAATGATCAATTTGTAGCACAAGTTTGCTAAGGGACTCATCTTTTTGTCTCAAGGCTAAAAGCTAAAGGCTATGAAGGTAAAGAGAAGTAGTATGGCATTAGATCATTCATGTGAAATTAAAGGAAAATTTTGTGCATATTGAACTACATGGGATCAAACTCAAGAGGAAAGACTTAGAGATGTAGAAGAGAAAGTTGGTTCAAAATGTTTTGTTTAAACCAACATGGATAATTACAGAACACGTTCAAAAAACATAATCATATCATTACAAAGGTCACCATTACAGAGAAAATTGCAAGGAATGTTTACATGAAAGTATCAATTTCTATTCATCCTAAACCTAAGCTCATCATTAGGACGTCTCTTTTTCTAACAGTTGCAAAACACCTTCAACCCCCCGTGGCCACACCAATCACTAATTTTTCTTTATGCCTTTGCTCCTTTAAGCTTCTCCTAGCTTAGGCCTCCTCCATGACAGATTTCATGTCATTACACCTGCAAAAAAGGGCCGTGCACCAATACTGGATAAACAAATTGATGAATCAAAATAGTCAACACTAACCTGCACAAAACTATTATACTAACTAAATCAGTTTCAATCAATACAGTGCCCTGTTTGTCACCAAAAGACAGTTCACAATAAGTATCTGAACTGGAGGAAAAGAATTAAACTAAGACAGTTAAAGTGTCGACCCAAAACAAAACTTAATTAAAATCGCAACTTGAAAATAATGTTATAATCCAAAGCAGGGCAATGTTTAATGAATCAAAGCAAGCATAAAAGATTAGGTACAAAGTAAAGTCAGTTTCAGATCCATACCAAGGAAGCTTAACTCATCTTACATTGCTTCAGTTTTGCATTCCAGGGTCAACAGAAACCAGTGTCCTGTTTGTCAACAAAAGAAAACAAGTTCAATGAATCGGTTAAAATTACAAACCAGTAAAAATAGTTCATGATAAATAAATCAGTGCACAACATATATCCATATCATATCATAAAATTAGAAGAAATCAAACCAAAGCGAAAACGTGATTAATTCACTTTTGGCCTAAGATGGAAATGATTGTCCGGAGCAGGGCATACTAACCAAGTAATCGAATAATTGCAGAAACAACGAATCAAATGCAGTAATTACAGAAAAAACATATATCAATAAATCTGGAAACTTTTTAATACGAATCAATACCATGTTCAAATTACATATACAATTTCGAAAAATTCCCAAATCTAAAAACCTAATCATTTCTAAAATTCAAAATTGCAGACATATTTATTAACTTCCTTTTTTGTTAAAACAAAGCATTGATTAATTTTCCTAAATCTAAAAGCTAAGAACACTATAAAATCATAAGATTACAGGGGAAGAAGAGGAGGAACCACAACAGTACTGAGGGGAGTGAATTTTACAAAAAGAAGAACTCAGCCGCGAAGTTGTTGTAGAAGAAGAAGCGACAACGGGGGTTTCGACATCTGAAACCATAGTTGTTGTCATCTCTGCCACTCTCATCACTGTTGTCTCGGCCGCTCTCATCAGCATCGTCTCTGCCGTAACTCACCACTATCTTCAATCGCTTGACACTACCACAACCACCTGTAAAAGAGAAGAAGAACTAGGGATCAACACCAAATCGAAACAACTGAAGAATCAGAATCAGAACAATCACGAAAGAGGGTAATACTTAGCTCCTTATTATTGTTTGTATTTTGGGTTTTTGATGGTGGGGTGGTGGTTCAATCGCCGCCGCGGTGGGGATTGGGAGTTCTAGGGTTTGATTAGGAAAGATGAAGGGTTTGTGTTGGAGCATGAGAGAGAAGAAAAAGCTTATTTTACTGTAAACAAAAATTGAAAAATTGAATTAAAACAAATTATATGATCTGTTCCAATCATATGCGCCTCACCTATGATAGCTAACGTAGTCCCTCAATTTTGACCGTGTGATTTTGATTAGACGGCCGCTAGCCCAGGTCTGCACGATAAGCCATACTCCCACGCCACGCTCAATCACCAGGTCCTCCTAATTTGCGTAGTGGGCCTAAGCCTAGTGTTTTCTACACCACCCTTCCTTTGTGTGATACGGTGGCAGAACCGGCTGTTTTGGGAAATGCTGGTTTACGTTTTGCGTTTTCTATTCGCAAAATGTCACGGTAAGCAAGAGTCGCTACCGACTTTTATTTTATCCATCCAGAAAGGAAAAAAGCACAGAAAAAAAACCTTTTTCGAGATTTTGAGTACGGGGGGCAAATTATAGAAAGGGAAGGTGTTAGCACCCTTTCTATCCATGGTTTTCCATGGGCTCTTAGGTACTTGCTCATCTTTTAAAATTGCTTGTGTGTGTTTGTTTTGAAATTTTTTGTTTTACTTCGTTTTAACCCTTGTTTCTGTCTTCAAGAGTGTTACGAAGTTGTTTTTGAAAACTTTGTTTGAAAAGTGTAAGTGTGAAAAGTTTGATTTTGAGCAAGTACCTACTAGCATCTACCTACTCGAAAAAGGATTGTTTTTATCCTCATTTCCTTTAGACAGCGCCATCCTACTATTGAGAAATAGGTAGCACCCTCGTTGGAATTGTAAGGGTTAATTCGAAAGGAACGTACGATCACTAAAGCAATGTTAGGACATCTTAGTAATAACCCTAGAGTCTTAAGATCATATTCGAGGCAACATTTCCGAGGCAACGTTTCCGAGGCAACATTTCCGAACGGGACTTTTGATCTTTGTTTAGACAGGAGGACAACCACTAAGACACCCTATACTTAATGATCGTTTACCGAAGGCAACCGAAGTGAGAGTATACCCTAGGAGTGTGCATGTGCCAGTGATTTGATTTCAATTATTATCTTTGCACATTAGGGTTTTCTAGCCGTTTTAAATTATCATGCAATCTTGTCATACAATCCTATTAACATACATCTAA